TTTAAGAACTATTTCTCTTAATATCTCAAAATCTGCATATGCCATATGTTCAGCTATCCACAATCCATAGAATCTTAGATGATAAATAAGAATATTTTATTGTAAATTTATCGTATACATATACATCATCTACAATTACCTAATTACAATAATCCTTATCGATATAAAAATGAATCTGTGATTAAGTTAATCGACAATAAATATCGAAGGAAATAATTTTGAAACAATATTCTTCGATCGATGGTAATAACTTTTTATTTGAACAATAATCGTAATAACGTAAATTCGCGATAATACGAAACATAATTTTTACGATAAAATAAAAGTGATAAAAATAAAAATCCTTTATTTACCTTGAATTAAACTTAAACTTACTTGTAACTTCGAACGTTTTCCTCGTCGAAATAATATTTTTCGTAATATATCGAATATTACGAAACGAATTTATTGTATGTCATTATTTTTTTTTTTTTTTTTTCACAATGTTCTCCTTCTTTCAAATTTCTCGGGAAATCCGAAGCTAATTGAGAACGGTCAAGAAGGCGCATAAAACGTTCGAAGAATGAGTCGACACGGACACGCGTCGAATACCAAACTCAACACTTGCCAAACAAAAAACATATGATTCCTTTCATTGCACAAAATCGATTTGTTTGCCGCGCAATCCACGTACACAAATGAATTACGATCAATAAAATTTGGAAATGAAATCATCGAGTTTTTTTTTTTTTTTTAACGATTTTTAATTAAATGTTAATATATAAACAAAAATATAGAAAATTAATTGTTAATTAAGAAAAAAATAATCACATCGATCTATATTTTTCATTTTCAAAAAAATTTTATTTAATTTTTTCTATTTTCTTGATTGAAAAAAATGAGATGAAAATAAGAAATTTTTCATAAAAGAAAAAATTAAAAAATCATTAAGAACCTATTTCTTTACGATATTATTCTTTATTATGCATATATGAATCTAGGATAAAATTTATACAGATTTATGGATATTCAAGTGAGATAATATATTTTTATTATTTCTTATATATTTCTGATCCTCAAAAAAGATAATTTTTTGAACAATCAATGCAATACCTTCCATGGAAAATATTCTCGAGAATTCAAGAAAATTTATTCAAAATTTTTATTAAAAAATAATTTTCATTTTCGTTAGCGAAAATTAATTTTCGAAAGCATGCCTCAAAAACTTTTACACTGAATCGAATTCGCACCTTTAAGTTATTCAATACATTATCGATTTTCACTTCAAAAAAATATTTATTCTTTATTCTGAAACGGATTCACCACTTAACACGGCCGATCTATCGTATAATCGATAAACGAACGTCAAACGCGATCGATTTCGCGCGCGTGGTGTCGCGACGCTAATAAATATATCGTACTGAGCTCAAGCCCGAAAATAGTCGGGGTAATTGAAAAATTTTCACCGACGCGCCACTGAGAAACCGGCAAAGACAGTGCGGCTCTGAAACACCGATCTTTTTAACGAAAATCATCAATGGATGATTCAAATTATCTCGGACAACAAAATGCGTTGTCGTACAAAGAAACTCACCTAACCTAAAAATTGTAATTTCAATGAAAGTTGTAATAGAGCCTAACAAATTTGGCGGAAAATATCTTTAAGGTAAAAAAATTAATCCTGGATAAACATAAATAATCTGTTGCACTTTTATTATTATTCATTTATTATATTATTTTAATTCTTGTATCAAAACAAAAATTATTTCAATATTTTTATTCTATAATAAAAGATTATAGAAAAACTTTTTTATCTATACTTTTAAAGAATCAAGAAGATATACAGTGAAACATTAAGTTGCACTAAAAAAAAAAAAAAATCATTCTATCATCCTATACTCACAAAATTTCATTTAAAAAAAATCTAATTTCTTATTCCATATCCATAACACAACTTGTTACTCGAGCTTGCTTAACGTATACCGATACTTTCTTGCCTAGTTCCATATCTCCCCGTTCTCACCGAGAGAAAAAATCAACAAAACCATGAAATAAAATTTTTCAAACACTGTCACGCGTACATACGATAAAATACTTCGATAATAGTAAGGAACGAGAAAAGAGTAGAAAAAGAAAAAAATCAGCAAGTAAAAAAAAAAAAGAAGAACAGAAATTATCGACAGAGTTTCTTTTCTTTTGATGAATGGACCAGTGTTTTTTCTTTTTCTTTTTCTTTTTTTTTTTTCGATTTAATATTTAACGGCACGCGCGCACAGCTTTCACACGCCACATAAAATCACGTTAAACACTCGACACGACTCCGCTCGACTCCGCTCGACTGTTTGCTAGCCAGGGCATAGCACCTCCCGTAGGAGCCGAGCGAGGAGTCAACCCGCTCCAGGAATAGAAACACCAAAGCCCGAAATCGCTCGAGAGCGTTGGAGGCGCGACGTCGAAACG